CAATGAGCCTCATGGCTGCACTTGTGGGGCTGCTTTGCAGTCCCGTCAGCATGTCCTCTTTCGCTGTCGCGATCGCTACTCCGTGCATTACCCCGCTTTCTTGGGGATATTGCATCTTTTATGAAGTACAACCCTACGGCGTTTGGCTTCAACCGGGACCCGTCGGGTGTCGGATAATCGTGGTGGGCGGGGTTGTTCCTCCTTTCGGGGGATTTATGGTGAATTGACACCACCGAGCTCTAGGGTTCGAAGACCTGTGCCTACCGCTATTTCTTTGCGCTTGTGGCCGCTATTGTAGCAGGTTGTGGCGCCGCTAATTCTCTGCGTCTGGTCTCGGGCAGGCGCATCTCTGGCTTGTCGGCCTCAAGACACCTTGCCACCTCCCGGGTGGTGCTCTCTTATCTCACTTGCGCTGCGTGGCCTCCAAACAGCGTCCGATGACTCTGGGGTTTAGCGGGGCCTCGATGGTCTCCTCCCCTTATCCCGCGTCACCGTTTTCACGAGGTGGGTCTGGCTTTGTGGGAGTTTTGGCATTTGAGCCACAAGGCTCGTGGTTGGGGGGGCGGATGTCTTTTAGTAGTTTACTTAGTACCCAGGCCACATAGTGTACATGTTTGTAGATAGTGAGCGGCCTGCCATCCAGCACCGCTATATAAGTTGTTGATCAAAAAAATAAAAAAATAAAAAAAAAAAGCAATAAAGAGAAGGTAGATAATCTTGTAGGCCTTACGCAGGCCCACATTATTATCATCAAGCTGTTTGGATTGGGTCAAAATGGTCCCGTCATCCACAAAGGAAAGTAGTGTCATGTTGAGCGGCGCTGCTTTGATGTAGAAGACCTTCATTACCGGAGCAATGAAAAGCCAAGAAATAACAGGCGAGAGAGCTGAGCCCTGCCCAACACCCACATCCGCAGACCGTGAGTCGGATTGGAAGGTATTCCAGCAGTAAACTGTGGACTGACCAACAAGATAGGAGGCAAAGAACTCCGCCAGAACCGGCGAGAACCCTTGCTTGCGAAGAACAGCCATGAACATCTCATGGTTGATAGAAGGGAAGAACTGCGTGATGTCAAAAGCCAGCGCGCTAGTCTGGAGACCCTTAACCCACCCTGCTCGCACAAGATGAGTCAGAATCAATCCAGCATCCTCAGTTGACCTCTGGCGGATGCCGCCAAGTTGGTTGGGATGGAAGATATCATGCTTGACAGTGTCAAACTGTATCCTATTGGCAATCATCTTTTTGATAAGTTTACCAACAGTGATGAGGAGTACGATCAGCCTGAAAGCCTTCGGTACGGCATAGGAGGGCTTATTCGGTTTTGGGACGATGACTGAAAGCGACTCCTTGAATATACGCGGCCAATGACCCACCCGAAGGCAGGCATTGGCCAACACAATGAAGAGCATAAGGACGTGTTTGTCCTTGAGCAGCTCCTTTAGGTGGACCCATGTAACATGGTCTGGTCCTGGTGCAGAGGAGTTGGAGCACCCCTTGAGGGCACTCAACAACTCATGCTCCGAGAAGTCAGCCCACTCACGGACCAGCTCGTCGGGAAGCTCGTCTAATACTGAAGTGTCGTACTCACGACCCGAGGCCGAGTTGTACGTGCCGTGCAGGGCGTCCCAGAGGTCGTCCATATCATGGCAAGGCTGATCGCCATTGCAAATAGCCTCACAGGGTGGTAGCTTGCGCTGTTTGACCCACTCCATCAGGTCCCATGGGCGCTTGCGAGAGGTTGCGATCTCTGCGATGTGTTCATCGAAGAAATCACGCTTGGCATCTTTACACGCCTTCTTAAACTTGTTGTAGTCAGCGAGCGAATGGCTCAACTGATATACTCCAAATGTCTCCAAGCACTTGTCCGTCCACCAGGACTTGGAGCGCTTGGTAGGTTTGGACTCGGTTGAATGGGCAAGCTATGCGTCCGAGAACGCTGTCGCGATAGCATTGGCTAAAGCTTCAAGGCCTTCCTTGGTTGCCAGGGCTGCAACAGGAATAGCTGCAAGATCCCGGAGAATATCCAAAATGAAAGACTTTCAGCCTCGCTTCCGGGTTTAATTGTCCTTCACCCAGATCCGGGCGGTTCGGGACCAATATCAAGATCTGTGCAGATCGGGACATGATCTGACGGACCCTGGAGATCGTGCTCCAATCTGGGCATTGAGATTAAGATCTCAGATGGAGCTAAGAATACAAGATCCAACACATTGGATCTCTGGTTTGGATTAGGACTGATTCTCGTCGGTCCATGGTTAGAAGGTCGTGCCCACTCGAGGCCGATCTGAGATGCGGTATCCCGCAAGGATATTGCTGTTGACGACTCGCCATGCTCATAGTCATCCCAAGTCATCGACACGCAGTTGAAGTCACCAGCCATATAGATGAAAGGTGGTAGAGAATGCACATGAGCAGCGAGGTGCTCAATGGCTGTGTGTTGATTGTCAGAATAGATGTTCATTAAGTTAAGAACCTCACCCCCACTAAAGAGGGAGAGGACGAGGATGTCGCGATGGTCGACAATGTCACGGCGCATAGCAGGACGATAGCGGGATAGCCTAGTCGAAACATAGGCAATCACATGGCGAACTTCCCCTTCCTTGATGCGCACCATTTGCAGCCAATCAGGATGCTTTGGTGCACCGATAACCTCATCGCCCTCCATAGTAGTGGTGGATGGTGCATGCCTTATGAAATTCCAAGGGGTTTCTTGGAAAAATAGAATATCAAATTTGGTTTTACAAATTTCGAGAAGTGTATCAATGTGGGCATAGGTATGGCGAACGTTCTGACAATAAATACGTAACCCACTACTTAGATCCTGAAGGTTTCCCAACATTGGTCTAGGTTCGGGGGTTAGTAAGTTGGCGGCGAGCAGCATGCTCACGTACCACGATCGGCCATGACGATAGGGCCCAGAACTTGCACGATGCTGAGTTGGCAGCGGGGTCCTTGTGGCAATTGACACAGCGGCCGTTATGGGGGCAGGGCTGGTTGCGAGGGGTGGGCGGCACAGGGGGTTTTGCTTTCGCGTTGCCCTTGCAACATCCCACATGCTGAGTTGTCCAGCAGCGCTGGCATAGCGGGACCCCGGTGTGACGCGCGGCAGGCCTGATTGCACAGGATCGCCCAGCGAGGAAGATCGGTTGGCCTAAAGCCTTCTTGGCATGGGTTCCTTGCTGGGAATCCCAGATGTTGCAGTATACGGTGCACGATGTCGAGTGCGCCGAGTTGCGGTCGATCCGAGGCTTGGTGCTCAGATATGCGAAGACCTCAGCATGAACCGAGGTGCAGAGGGCCTTCTCAAGCGCCTCCTGGGTGATCTTTAACCCTTTTGGATCAAAGTAAGGAACATCGAGTATCTTTATAAAAGATGTCGACGACGGGAGGGCAACCTCGAACGGAGTACCCGTTGGGAGGCTTTTGCGGGTGAAGTTGCGCAGAATGTCCAAGTCGGACGGGCTGGCAACAGCGGGGGTGACCAATGACAAACTGTCATAGGCTCGGACGATGGAGGTGACCTTTAGCATAGATTGCCCATCCCTGAGATATCTGTTGGCTGCACGAACAGCTGACTCGGTGAAGAACTTTGTGAGATCAGGAGGGGTACCCCTGAATGACACGAGAACTTGCTTCCGGGTGGGGCCCTTGGAAGTGAAAGAAGGAATGGACTGATGGGGAGACGCCTTCTTCGGGCCCGTTGGGAATGCGGGGGGAGGAGGAGGAGAAGGCCCGCGACGCTGCGGTCCCAAGCCAAGAGGCGGGGGAGGCATCGGAGCGGCCTGTCGTGCGATCCCTGCCCACGTCGTTGGACAGGGCTTGGGTTTGGTAGCGCGATTGATCGGCAGAGGTGGACCAGGGCGAGAGTAGGCCACCTTGCTCTTCTTCTGAGGAGGAGGTGGGACCGGATGATTGACACCCTTACGCTTCTTGGAAGCGGGGATGCGAGGCAGGGAGGCCGGGCGACCAAGGTCGTCCAATGCCTGCATGAGGATGTCGGGAGGAGCCCCTACGCCAGCAACACCCTCATCAAGTGGCCCACGGGCAGCAGGAGGAGGAGGCCTGAATACGGGAGCCGGGTGGATGGTCGGCTCATCCTTGGAAGACGTCTCAGCCTCGAGAAGAGAGGCGAGCGAGAAGTTGTCGAGTTCGCCTGGTCTGCGAATACGACTAAAATTGGTGGCCATGACGGCGTTCACGAAGGATGTCATCTGGGCCACGAAGGCATCGCCCCCATCGATGGTGAGCGGATTGTGGTGCGTGGCCCGCAGAACCCAGTCTGTGGCCTTCGCAATGGAGGTGGTCAATACCTCAAGATCGCCAGGAAGATCCTCGACTGTGTCTCGGAACTTCAAGGTGTATTGACCTAGAAGAAGGTCGACGGAGGGGTCCCTCAAGACCTCCTCCCCTCCCTGTGTGCCCTCAACCTCCATCTCCTGGGGGTGGGCCGCCCCTGAGTCAGACTCATCTGCGGACGAATGGGCGGAACCCGTGGTGGAACAGGACCTGCGGCGGGGTGACATGTGGCGAGATCGAGCTGGCACGACCGTCGAGTATGTGGCCCTAGTCAAGGTAGGGTCCGGCGAGATTGGCAAGGCATCACTTTTTTATCAACGATGTCTAGCGACATATGAGCGGTGCTCGATGGCAGCCCGCTCGCTATCTACAAACACGTACACTATGTGGCCTGGGTACTAAGTGAACTACTAAAAGACGTCCGCCCCCCCAACCACGAGCCTTATGGCTCAAACGCCTAAACTCCCATAAAGCCAGACCCACCTCGCGAAAACGGTGACGGGAATAAGGAAGAGACCATCGAGGCCCCGAAAGTCGTCGGACGCTGTTCGGGGGCCACGCAGCGCAAATGAGATATGAACAGCACCACCCGGGAGGTGGCAGGGTGTCTTAAGGCCGACAAGCCAGAGAAGCGCCTGCCCGAAACCAGACGCAGAGAATTAGCGGCGCCACAACCTGCTACAATAGCGGCCACAAGCGCAAAGAAATAGCGGTAGGCACAGGTCTCCGGCCCCTAAGGTCCGAGGGTGTCAATTCACCATAAATCCCCCGAAAGGAGGAATAACCCCGCCTGCAACGATTATCCGACACCCGACGGGTCCCGGTTGAAGCCAAACGCCGTAGGGTTGTACTTCATAAAAGATGCAATATCCCCAAGAAAACGGGGGTAGTGCACTGAGTAGCGATCGCGACAGCGAAAGAGGATATGCTGACGGGACTGCAAAGCAGCCCCGCAAGTGCAGCCATGAGGCTCATTGATCTTGAAGCGACGGTAATACGCTCCAATGGGCGCATGGCCAGTTATACACCAGCGAACGCGGGTGAACTCAGTAATACTGTGTCCGAATGTTGAAAGCCAAGGTCCCCCGTTGAGGTACGATGGCTGCAGCGGCCGCCCGTCAGGCTGTTGAAGCTCTAAGAATTCAGAGCCTCGGTAAGTTGGATCCTGGAAAGTGGAGTTCCACGAATCCAGGACTGAGTGCGCAGCTCGAGAGCGTAGCGCGTCTATGGAGTTGTCCGTCTTGCAACGCCCAACCCTGACTTTGAGTTCGGTGACGTACTTGTGTGCTTCACCATGGATATCCCACCGCATAGCAGAAGGGACGTAGACGAAGGTAATGCGACGGAGATCATCTGCCTCAAACCACTCTTGAAGAGCGCGACATACTGACAGACTAAAAGCCTGACCAGAATGCACGCCGGGGTCAACCGCTCGGCCCATAGAGTCAGTGAAGACCATAATATGTTGGCAGTTTGCCTGCTTGACAGCAAGGCGCACTGCGCACGAGATGGCATTGAGTTCCGCATCTGGGGCGGTAACTCTGCCAGAGACATAGCGGGTCCTTTTGAGCTCGCGATGTCCCTTGTAGATTATAGCAGCCGAAGCCGCCTGATACTGGTTGGACTGAGGGACAGAGCCATCAGTTGCAGCCAGTACTGTTAGTGGGTCGGCCCTTGCTTTCGCAATGAGCTCGTCTAGATATGGGCGCCTATCCTGGCCAGGATCACACTCGTCAAAATGGAGACGGTCCGCATAGCGGTCCAGTAACCGGTCGCCTGGACGAGCTTCGGGCGCAAAGGGCTCGAAGCTCTCAGTTAAGGTGTGGACACGCTCGTCCACTTCCATGACAGTGCTCTTGACTTTCCCCCGCATGGCTGGGGTCATCAAGGCGGCAGAGCGAGCGTGTGGTGCGGCCCGCTTGAGGAGCCCCTCGCCCATCATAGAGCGCAGGGGGTGAGTGTCTGAGAGGGTAGCGATGTGATACACTGCGCGCATCGCCAACTTCTTCAGCATGAGATGGACGGGGATGAGACCCGCTAGTGCCTCAAGACCGCCTGTGGGGGAGGTGCGGAAAGCACCTGTAATCCATAGCGCAGCTTTCCGCTGCATCCGTTTTAACTGGGTCATCGTGCCCTTATTACGGGCGCCGTCGAAATACCAGAGACGATAGCCGTATGTGGCGATGGGGACCACACACGACCTATATAAGAGGCGGCGCTGTTTAGGCGAGAGACCTCTAGTAGAGTTCCCGAGCATGCGCATGGCCTGCACGGTGGTAAACGCCTTGGTGGCGTAATAGCGAACGTGCTCATGAAACGTGAGCCCGCGGTCAAAGTAGAATCCCAAGTACCTCCAATAGGTCTTGGGCTTCAAAGGTGTATTGCCGGTGTGAGGGGCATACCCCAAATCCAGCGACGGATTGTAGGCATCTCGACGACGCGAAAAGTGAAACAACTCAGTCTTGTCGTGTTCAAGAACGAGCGCGAAGGCAACAAAGAGAAGGTAGATAATCTGTAGGCCTTACGCAGGCCCACATTATTATCGTCAAGTTGTTTGGATTGGGCCAGAATGGTCCCATCATCCACAAAGGACAGCAGCGTCATGTTGAGTGGCGCCGCTTTGATGTAAAAGAGCTTCATTACCGGAGCAATGAACAGCCCAGAGATAACAGGCGAGAGAGCTGAGCCCTGCCCAACACCCACGTCCGCAGACCGCGAGTCGGATTGGAAGGTGTTCCAACAGTAAACTGTGGAACGGCCTACAAGGTAAGAGGCAAAGAATTCCACCAGAATCGGCGAAAACCCTTGCTTGCGCAGTACAGCCATGAACCCATG